CTGGACGAGAAACCTGACTTCCGAGAGCCTCTTCCTAATTTGTAAGACAATGGCGGCAGCACTGGACACCTGACAGTGTGTCAGTACTTCACAAGAACGCCATCTGGCCAGAGGCCCTGCCTCCAGTCTGCCTCCCTCGCTCACCTGGTTCCTGATGGCCTTCTGCAGTAGCTCCTTCCCTCTGCTCATCGGCACCTGACAGGAGAGAAGAGCAATGAGGTTACAGTGCAGACTACCTGGGCACAGATGTCTACGTGGAACTGGCTGGGAGGCCTTGGAGTTGAGTCCCTTGGGAAGTCAGGAACAGTACAGGAAAAAGGGGTGGCAGAAATGAGAGCCCCAAGAACCTTTCAGAGGTCAAGATAAAGCCACGCACGAGTACAGGTCACTCATAGGTAGCTGCAGCCAGGCAGTGCGGGCCCCGGTGAAGGGCATTCTGAGTCCCAGGGCGTCAAGAGCCCTACGCCTCTCCTTGAGAGTTTCTGTGCTTTCCGGCAGAGTGTGCACAGCAAATGTTTCACCTCAGAAATGGTCTTTTCTCCCAGGAAGTACTGTCCTTCATCACGATCCCATATTGTGTGTCCATAGAGACTTGCACATTAGCCCAAATTAAATCAAACAATCAGAAGAACAGAAACCTGGGGAAAGCCACGCTGCAAAGATAAGATGCTTACTGTCAAAAATGTCCCCAGGCTGCTGTCCATGGAGCAAAGCAGAAGGTAGTCGCCCCTCAGGGAACTGCTGCCCACCCAAGCCCAGCAAGCCCTGTCCAGTGACAGGGTACCCGCTGTTGTGAACCCTACTCTAAAGTCCCACAGTGAACACACACCGCAGGAGGAACATTGATGAGGTGTGAGGTTCCAGGGCCATGAGAAATATTCTTAGCCTCAAATTCAAATGCAAGAGAAAATTAAACCAGAAGAAACTGAATCCTTGGACATCTACAGGCTCACTGAGGCTTATTTCCTTCTCCTACTCTGCAAAGTTCTTACCGAGTCTACAGGTTTCGGTGCAGGCCTGGCGGGGCCGCCTCTCAGACTGCCCGTGGCTGGGGGTGTCTCGGGCCTGACCTCGCCAGGGCTCGGGCAGCCCCCGTGGCCTGCCCCGCGGCTTTCTGCCTTCGCCTCCTTGCGGCTGGACACGATGTAACTCACTTCTTTGCTCAGAAAACCCTCAATTACCTGAAAGGAGATCACAGAGGTGGCTGAAAACCAAAAGGCAGATGTAGAATCATCAATATCAAGAGGTTGGGGAAGGAAATCTTGGCTGCCAGCAGTTCCAGAATCAATGTCTTTAAATAGGCCAAATGCAATTCTGTACCGAGTCCCCAAGAAGATAGCGTCCTGAAATATAATAGTGTTTATATATAATGCAGGTTTTTTCTCTAGAAGTGCTGTTCCCGACCTAAAGGCCAGAGGCTTGAATTATTTGACCAGTCTGAGTACGCCTGAAGCAAGAGCACACTGGACAGGCTGGACAAGCCGAAGAGCAGCTCGACGAAGCCATGATTTCCTCAGACACACTGGGCCATCCAGGCACCACACGTGTAATATGCCCACACTGCCAAAAGGAGCCCACAACACGCACAAAAAGGGTCCGGCTGCTGGTCCTCCACGAAGGAGTCTGCTCTGATGACTCCTTTGGACTGAGTGGGTCTATCCCAACTCCGAGGCCCAGAAACCAATGCCATGCCTGAGGCACAATGGCACTTACCGCACGGCTGTGGGAAGAACAGAGATGGTGGTGAGCTGGCAAATGTGGAACGAACAACTCTCGTTTTCTAACATTTGCCAATTTCTATGGAGTAAACACTCCTACTATGGCTGATTTCAAGCTACCAAGGTGAGGTACTGACTGTGGAACCGGAAAAAGATGCTAACAATTGGCTCTCGCGAGCGAGCACCAGTCAGCACCAGCACGCTACTGCACACAACGGCTAATGTCTTCTCCAGCGCGACGCCTGAGAAACCTGGCGCCTTGGTTGGAAACAGTTGTCTGGGCTCTTCAGAAAGCTAAACATACGTCACCAAACAACCCAGCATTCCACACTTAGACAAATACCCCAAAGAATGAAAAACAGGGACTTAAACAGCTACTTGTAGAGCAAGATTCATTGCAGCATTATTCACAATAGCCAGAAAGTGTCAAGTGTCAGTGAACGGGAGAAGCAAAAAGTGGTAACTACACAGAGCAGGACCTTACTTAGCCATAAAAAGAAATGAAGTCTGAGGCCTCCCTGGTGGCCTAGGAGTTAAGTCTCAGTGCTGTCACCAAGACAGCCCACTGGCATGGCTGAATTTGATCGCAGGCTAGGCTGCTGCCCCACATGGCACAGCAGACCCCTCTTGATTCATCTGCTGTTCCCCTCAGCAGTGTATTTCAGTCGATCTGCCTGTTCTGCTCCCCACTCTGGTGAATCCTCTCACCCACACCTCTGGCCTGTACCCCAGTTCTTATATGCATAAATAAATAAATCTTAAAAAAAAGTTTCCCATATAGCGAGAAGCCACACGGCCAGCACCAACGCCAGACATGTGAGTGAGGTCAACGTGTGTCCTCCAGCTCAGCTAACTCCCCAGGTAGAGGCAGCCGCAGGGATGTGCTAACGGGAAGAGCAGAAAAACCACCGTGCCAGTCCACAGAATAGTGAGAAACAAACTGCTGCTTGAAGCCCTGGTTCTGGGATGGTTTTTTATGCAGCAAAGGCTAAAGAGTAGATCAAACTGAAAGTTCGGTTCAGCCCACTTGGAACGTTTAATTCCCCCTCTAGCAATCCCCACTGCTGAGTTTCTTTATCTGAGTTTGCTAGTTTGACAGCAAGGACCACCGCAGTCCAAGGCACTCACACAGCTTCCCAGCCCCCCCTTTTTTGGCCAAACACTGTCATACTGTTTTCTAAACACAAGAGATAGTTGTGTCAGCCCCTTACTACATACATGGACCATATAACATGTGCTTTAAAGAGCTCTTCAGTGAATTCAAAACCTGCAAATGTTCTTTTACCCAAAATTGTTCACCACTCATTTATATGAGCTAAAATTTAAAGCCTACATGACCAGAGGGTAACAGTTAAGTAATGCATAATCCACTTAAAAGAGTATTATACTTGACAATGATAGGAAAGTGCTAAAGCTTTTCCAGATGTGGGCAAAAGCCGGTGGTTGTGTCCTCATGACCACAGCAGCACAGGAAATATCACCTACTGAAGGAAGGCAGGGAGGAGACAGAGTAGATGCATGGTTATCCAGGACCTGGAGCGGTAATGGGGTTACCCACACACCCGTGAAGATACTAAGAAGCACTGAGCTGTGAACTTCAAAACGTGAGCTGTATGGCGTGTGAATTATAATAGCTCAACGGTGCTGTGAAAAAGAGAAAAAGAGCCCTGAAGAAATAAATACCTTAAAATGCTGGTTGTCGTTTGGAATAATTTCAAAATTTCTAGATGAATACAATTTTCCTAATTATTAAAAAGAAGCTTTCATTAAAAAAATTACACTTAAAACTACTCTGGAAAACATAGTAATACTGGCTGAAAATACCTGAAAGTCACAGGTATGACCCCTCTCCAACTCCTGCCTTACAACATATAAAGGTGTTTGTGTCTTAGGAGAGAAGCAGGTTACATACCCCGCCCAGCTGCTGAATGGCTCCCGTCAAAAACTGGAGATTCTTGCCAGCAGGCAGGTCCAGGTAAAAGGACTTTCCAGAAAAGGGCTGCCTCCTAGCACTTGGCGATCTCTTCTGGCATTTTTCAAAACAACTGGAAACACCCAGTTGAGCTCCTGGAGAACAAAGAGGAGTAAAGTGAGAAGCAGGAGGTAAGAAGGGTCCTACAGGCCACGCAGCTCTCATGGGCAGCACAGGCCCTGGGGATTGTGCGCACAACGATGAGCGTGAGACAGCGCTCTTCACTTCAGGAGTGCTCAGCTCAGAAGCAGCCGGCACGCTCAGACACCGCTGTGGGAACGCCAAGCAGTGGGCTTCACTCTAGAAAAGAGTTGGAGAGTTTCTTGGACTGCCTATCAGTGAGTCCAGGTAACACAGAGTTAACCATGACCCCGATGATAACAAGTGCTGGTGAGGACACAGAGAAACTAGTCTTCATGTTTTGGTGGTGGGAGTGTAAACTGGCGCAGTCACGGAGAAAGTCAGCCAGGTCCTCAAGAGGTTGAACACTGAAGTCAGCAGAAGACCCAGTTTTTACGTTTCTAGGTATACACTCAAGAAATAAGTGCATTATCTATATGATAACTTGTAGACAGAGGTGACAGTGGTATTAGTCATAGGAGGCAAAGAGTGGAGCCTCAGCTGGCCATCAACTGAGGAATGGAGAAAGCGGGATATAGACAGCCAGACGCCGCATTCACAGAAAACAGGAATGATGCCGGCCCGTCCTGTGGTGCAGCGGGTTAAAGCGGGAACTATGGAGCAGAGCCAGGAAGGTGATCCAAATGAAAAAAGTGAAGAAGAAAGAAACCTGAATCCTAAAAGTAGAGTAGATTAGGGAACTTTTTCAGAAGGAATCAGGAAGATATAAAGAAATGGAATAATAGGAAAATTAAGACACTCAGAGGACAGGGACAGAAGTGTCACAGCAGAGAAATCGCAAGGGGGAAAATTACACAGAAAAGAAAATACTTGAAGAAATAATACCTTAAATATATGTCAACATAAGAACTTCTGCACGCTCCTCAAAACCCACTAAAATGACAAAGAAGTGAAAAAGGGGAAAGACACTAGCAAGAAGATGACAGCAAGCAAGAGACACTGTAACATTTTGGAAGCTGGAAAAGAAACAGCTGAGTGAAAAAAGGAGACCAAAAGTAACTGCCTCTGAATCAGGAAGGGGCAAGCTGGAGCTGGAAAGCCCTGAAACTGGAGGGACCAGGTATGATCAGTGCTAGAATGAAACAGAGGCTGCAAAAGACCTACTTAGAAACAATTTACAAGGAACAGTTAAGATTCCCAGAACCCAACTCCACCCCACTCCAGCAGAAGACTAGAGCAGTGATTCTTAACTGGGGAAGGTCCTCCCCAGAGGAAATGTCTAGAAACATTTTCGTTTCTCAAAACCGCAAGGGGTGTGTGCGCTACTGGCATGCAGGACATAGAAGCCAGAAATGTTACTTACAGGACGACCCCCTACAACGAAGAATTATCTGGCCCAATATGTCAATGGTACCAAGACTGAAAAATAAACCAGGAGCAGAGAGAGGACAGAGAGATGAAGCCCCAGTGAAATACAGAATAGTGAGACCTATAGACCTCTTCCCTCAGTGAGCTCCCAGGATGCTGACACCACACTTACACTCAGCAGACAGAGGAGGACTTACACTTGCCAGAGGCCTGGGAGGATTCCTCTCTAGACAACTGATCGGCCCTGGACAAAAACTACGAATCAGTATATCCGGGGTCTAGCCTATTATGGATTGAATATTTGTAACCCCAAATTCGTATGTGGAAGCCCTAACCCCAGTGTGATGGCATTAGGAAGTGTAGTCTTTGGAGGGTAATTAGGTTTAGATGAGCTCTTGAGGTGCAGCCATGTAATCGGACTGGCATCCTTATGAGAGGAGCAAGCGAGCACATGAGTGCACAAAGGGGCCATGTGAACCATAGCAAGGTGGCAGAGATCTGCAAGGCTGGAAGAGGGTCCCCACTGACAACAGAATCCTTCGACACCTTGATCTTGGGACTTCCCAGTCTAAAGTACTAAAAAATGAATGTGGGTTAAGCCATGCAGTCTATGGCATTTTGTTATGAGCCTGAACTAGAACTTTCTCTAAAATTGCTAGGTTCCAGCTTCAGCCCAACAGTTGATAACCCCCCTCCAACTTCTAAAAAGCATTTTATTTCATTATTCTTAAGAATGAATGGATAAAAGATCCTCAGACATTTAAAGAAAGCTCCTTACAAGGGATCAGAATAAGAGCAAGGCTCAGCAAAGAACTCAAAGGATGATGGGCCTCCCTGGTGGTGCAGGGGTTAAAGTCTCAGCACCCTCAAGCTATGGTCAGTCACTGTAGCATGAGTTAAGGAGGAATCTGATCCCCAGCCAGGGAGTTGACCCACAAAGGAGCAGCAGACCTCTCCTGTCTTGCCTGCTACTCCCCTCAGCAGTACATTTCAGTAGATCCAGCTGTTCTGCTCCCTACTCTGTCTCTGGTGAATCCTCTCACCTTTCATACCTATGGCCCACACCCCAGCTCTTTTATGCATAAATAAAAATGAATATTTAAAAAAATAATTTGAAAACAAGGGTGAAATAAAGGTATTCTTAGATATCCAAGCCTCAGAAAATGTATATATAAAGCCCCTTTTGAAAATAGGCACCCTTGGAAAGAGTTCTCCAGCAAAAAGATTCAGAAGCAAGGAAGAAGACATGGCAAGGAAGTATAAATAATTTAGTAAAATGTAATCCTGTTTAAAAGGTAACAACCAAATGGCGGGGCTGTAATAATCCAGAACTAAAACTCGATATTATAAAGAGTGAGGGATACAGAGGTACTATGTGCTAAGTTAGTTTTATAACTGGCATGAGTGTTTAATTTTATTGATCAACTTAAGAGTTCTATATCAAAACTGACTATGAACAGATGTTCGATAATTTACTGTACCCTGCCTTCCCATCTGTCTGCTAATCTTACTGACACTATCAGGCTGAAAACTGTACATGCATGTACACACACACACACCCCTTGCCCATAGTACACGTGTATGCATACACACACTTCCCCTTAGGATTAACATTTCTCGGCCTTTCCCTCCCAGAGACAGTGGGCAGGAGTAGCAATTTGCCCTCACGCTGGTTTGGATCATTTGCCTACCTAGGTCTGGAGCCTGGAACCTACTCTCAGCCATGGAACTCCCCAGGCCAAGGCAATCCTCTCCTGCGAAAGAACAAAACGCCAGCTGAACCACATTCACAAGCCTGCGACCTCGCACCCCACCCCCTCCCCTCAACTTGCCGCACGGGAGCCGCACAGCAGGGCTCGACCCCAACCCACTTCCCACCTCATCCGCCCCCGTTTCCAGGCTCTTTCTCGTCTCAGTCCTTCCTGCACCCCTCAGTCTCGGTTCCCAGATCTCCCGCGACCTCGAGGCCACCCCATGTATCTCTCATCTCCCCTGCCTTCCCCCAGACTCTTAACCCCCTCAGCCGCTCCGCGCCTCACCCCTCTGTCGCCTCAACCCCCGCGACCCAAGGAATCATCGCAGCTCCCAGGAGCCCTTCCCGGCCCCTCTACGCTCCGGAGCTCCCACGCCTAACTGCCCCGCACTTCCCGAGTCCACTTTTAGACCCCCCTGTACTTTCTTCACACTGAGACGCCCCTTCGTGCTCGTCGTCCCCTTCCCGGCCTCCGTACCCTTCCCGGCTCTTTCCTCAAATCCTCGGCTCCTTCCCCCTCCGGCTCCTTCTCAAAGCCTCCGTGCGATAACCAGCAGCTCCATGAGCGCTTCCAGACCTCGGAGACCGGCCGTGTCACCTCACGCACGGCATCATTCTCCAGCCGCTTCGGCCGCCGCTCCGGTTTAAATTTCCTGCAGACTCCTCCCCCGACAAGTGTAATAGCTGCGACATCTACCGTACGGTGGCCCGGAAGGGACAACATCCTCCGTCTCCGTTTCGGGTCAGGCTCGGCTGGCGCGGCTGGCTCTACGTTTCTCGGCTTCTCATTGGATGTCTCAGAGGCTTCGCGTCTTCATAGCCGGCAGAGTAGGAGCTCTGGTGGCGTCTTAGAGACTGTCCTGCTCAGTTGGTTTGAGTTTCTGGGAGTGAGGTTAATAAATAGCAAAGCAAATCGAACATGAATACAGTTTATACAAGTTCCACGTGTACATACATACACCTTCACACCTCTGTTTCTCTCCCTTTTCTCCCCAACAAAGTTTCTCTAAAGAGGTGTCCGTTCCCCCCTTCCAATCATTTCTTCACTCACCGAATTAAAGACTTTGATCCTCAGCTCTCCATTAAAACTGAGCTTGTTCAAGCTAACGGTGACTTCCACCGGTCCGCTTTGAGATCCTGAATATGAAACAGACTGGTACTGACTTAAGACGTTTTCCTCTTTTTGCTTCCATTTCTGCCATCTTTCTCCGTACATCAGTAGCTCCTCTTCTGCCTGCTTTGCTGGGTCCGACACCACGGCTCGCCTTAGAAATGTTGGGGTACCCCACAGCTCTCTTTTCGTCGTTATGAATATTCCCTAGAAATCGTCCAACTCCATGGCTTTACAATTCAGCTCTATACTAATGCCTGCAGAATTCCTATCTTTAGTTCTGCTCGCTCTCTCCATCTCCAGATTACATATATAAATGCCGGCTGGCCATTTCCGTGTGTGTGTCTATTAGGCACCTCAAGCTTCACATGTTCGAGATAGAACATTCAGACCTCCACCACTCCCTCTACCTAACCCCTCTTACCTATTCTCACAGATTGCCCACATTTCCATAAATACCACATCATCCACTCAGTTGCTCAAATCAAAAACTAGAGATTACCTTTTTTGTTTTTTCTTATTACCACATACTTGAAAAATAAGCTCTAGCAAGTCCAAAGTACATCTTGAATGAGGCCATTGTTACCAACCACCCTATTCTAAGCTACATAGTTTCTTTTTTATTTTCTTTTTAAAAGATTTTTTTATTTATGCCTATAGAACTAGGGTACAAGTCAGAGGTGCAGGGGCAGTGTGGGGAGCAGAACAGGCAGATTGATGAAGTACACTGCTGAGGGGAGCAGTGGAGAGACAGAAGACTGCTGTGGCATGTGGATCACCTCCCTGGCTGGATCAAATTCATGCTCAATTGGTCTCAGAGCTTGGTAGTGCTGTGATTTAACCCATTGCACCACCAGGGAGGACCCACGCCATGTAATTTCTTGTCTTCAATTTCTAATACTTTCTTGAGTAGTTTCTTCTCCCCAATATAATCCACTCTCCATGTGCAACCAGAGTGCCAGTCCTTAAACTGTGTAGTATGTGTGTGTGTGTCAAGTACTTGACATTCCTGGAGGGGGGGGTGCTCTCCCAGCAGATCATACATTCTTAGATGAGGCTTGCTTTGATTAAAGAGAAAAGGAAAACATAACACCATTCCAAGCACACATGTTAAGAGCCAGTATGGCTGACCAAGCACTCTTTTTTCCCATCATGCAGTCCTAATTATCCTACCAGTAATGTTACTACCATGGTAGTAAGTTGACAGGGCTTGTCTTGTCACCTTGAGTTCCTTTGTGAAGATGATGTGGAACAGAACCATAATTTGTAAAGGATGTATAATATGAGCAAGAAATGGACCCTTGTTGTCATAAGTTACTAAGATTTTAGTTACCACTTAGCATCATCAACTTTGCATAATCCTCACAGTTCAGCCATAAATACTGAAAAAAAATGCTATTTTCACAATAACAAGGGCTCACAATTCAAATTTTTCTTTCTGATTTTTTTCTCAATTCCTAGGAGGAAGTGCTTAGATTGATTTAAAAAATACATTTCTTTTATCACAGAACAAAGGCTGACTTTCTGATATCTAAAAAATGTGTACAAATAGATACAGAGTATGCTAACAACCCATGTGAAAATGAGTTAAGAAACAATCACAGAAAAGTAAATACAAAGAGTTTTCAAATGTGCTCAACTCACTTAAAATAAGAGAAAAGCAAATTAAATCTGCACCCAAAGCACCATTATTCACTTAACACACTGGCAAAAGTCACTGTGTCTAGATGGTGACAACCTGCCTTTCATGGGTCATGCCAGCTCCTGTGTAAGGCTTTTGGGCAAACAACTAGAAAGATTGTGAAGTACATATTTTACTGCCCAGGAATTCCACTTCTTGGAGTTAATCTACAGATAGACTCACACATATTTGATATGACTTATGTTATAGAAATATCTACTACAGCATTGTAGAAACAAAAGATTGAAAGCAACCTGAATACTCATCAACAACAGGCAATGGATTAAATAAATGATTGTATAAACAGTGTAACACTATATAGCAACAAAAAGTAAAGTTACCATAAAAGATAAATGTAGGACCTCCTTGTTGGTGCAGGGGTTAAACTCTCAGTGCTATCAAGCTATCATCAGCCACTTCAGGCGAGCTTGATCCCTGGCCAGAGACTAAACCACATGGTGCAGCAGACCTCTCTTTACTCACTGGCTGCTCTCCTCAGCAGTATATTTCTGCAGATCTCTGCTCTGGTGAATCCTCTCACTATCCCTCCACTCCGTATTCCTACACCTGTGGCCTACACCCTAGTTCTCATACACATAATTTAAAAAAAAGATAAATGTAATAAACCTCCATGTTAGAAGACACGGAGATCCTCAAGGCCCTCCCTCGTGGTGCAAGGGGTTAAAGCACTGCACTATGAAGCTATCTGCTGCCATGGCTGCAGGAGTGCAGGAGTTCAATCCTTAACCAGAGAGCTGACCCACATGGTGTGGCTACTGGCCCAAGATACAGGCCGGAGATGCAGGGGGTGAGAGGATCCACCATAGATAGAATGGAGAGCGCAACAGGCAGATTGACTGAAATACACTGCTGAGGGGAGCAGCTGGTGGGTCAGGAGAGGTCTGCTGCGTCATGTGGGTCAGCTCATGGTACAGTGGCTGCAGAATGCTTCATAGTGCTGAAACTTAAAATCTTGACACCAGGGAGGCCCTGCATCACTTTTTAAGTACCCTTTTCATAGTTACCCTTTTGTATTCTTATGGATATGATATGAGTATTCAGAACCCTCATTTAATGAGGCCAGGCTAGAAAGAGTGCCAGCATTTGCATTAATTAACAAGCCACAGGATGCAACTACCTGGTATTTCCCACTCTTCCCAGGGGAGCAGAGGGAATGGACCTCCCCAGGTTATATAGGGAGTTGTGAGTCTTGAATTAGAGGAAGCACACTTGGTTCGCAGCAAGAATGTACTAAGCAATCTGCCCTCTCTTATTTCTGAATAAGCTTTGTTTTGTTGTTAAAAAAAAGTGAATTGCTTTAGTTGAGGTCATTAATGAACCTACTAATATGATAAGTAGTTCACAAATGCAATTCATAAACAATACAAATTCATATATTAGGAGGGTATGGGGGAAATACTTTCATTCCTAAGAGTACTTGGCAAAAATGTATCTGATCTTCATTGGCCTGGAAAGATTTCCAACATGTGGGCAGGGGGTTGTATATAAGAACTTGAACTGAAGTACTGTGTAGAAAACTGGAAAATGATCTAAATGTTCATTAATAGAGGAATGGTATTAGCTGGGGCATATTCAAGCAGTGGAATACTATATGGTGGTTTAAAAGAATGGGCAAGATGATAAAATTACATTTATCAGCAAGGTACATATTTTAAACAATCTTAAGTGAAAAAAGCACACTGCAGAGAAGTCTAACATGAAAAACACTGTGATATAGTTCTGATGGACACATAGGTACACATGTTATAATTTGTATCACATATGCAATAATATGTACTATGTTTAAAATGACTCAACAGGAAGATAAAGGCCAAATTCAGAAGTAGTAGTTACATCTGGTGAGAGAGGGAACACAATGAGAGTGGAAGAAGGGCTTCAAGTAGATTTTATTTCTTAAAAAAAATAACAAAGTAAATAAAGTAATAAGTGGTGTCTTTTTTGGAGTTCGGAGTTCTTGAGTTCACTCTGGGAAAGGTTTCACCAGAGCTTCCCTTTCAGCGGCATACAGTGCGTTCCCCAGGCGAGTTTCTCCACCCGGAGAGTTTCTCCACCCGGAGAGTTTCTCCATGAGACACTCAGTTATATTTAAAGAGCAGGTTTATTAGGGAAAAGGACAGAGGAGTAAAGGACTCTTGCATAGGCACAAAAGGGTAGGAAGAACTGCCCTGAAAGGGACAGATTTGCTGAGAGGGGCCTGCATGGTTGCAGGCAGGTGGCCTTAGGACAGTGGCCTCCGCTAAGGGTGGTCAGTCACAGAAGCCCCGGCAGGTACAGATCACAGGCAGGCTGGAGGCTGCTGCCCTGTAGAGGGAGATAGGGTGGAAAGGAGCACCTGCATAGTCACAGGTGGGCAGAGGACTTTTCTCTTTGGGAGGGGCTCACTCCTTTGTGGGTGGCCTATTCACTGCTGATTTTGGATAACTCTGTGGAATCTCACAATGGGCCCCATCTCTGTATATTTACCTTCTGGTCTGTCCTTCTGATACTCCCTACAGCAGTATGATACAGGAGTCTCTATGACTGGGTTAATGGTCATGTTAGTTCCTTCTGCCCCCACCTCCTTGCATGAGTTAGGTTTTAACCTTGTGATGCCTCCCTCAGGTTTTCTACTCTTTTCCTCCATCAATAAGTAGCTCATAATTATAAAACAAGAGCTTTAAAACCAATGTCTGTGAATTCTCCTCTTCAGTGACAGGTGTTGGGGGTGACCAGGTGTGGGCGATAACACAACTACCGGTGGGGGTGGGACTAGATAAGGACAATAACGAACTGGGCCTCGCATCTGGGGGCACAGTGAGGATTCTTCTAAAGAATCTGAACCTAGATATATAAGAGACCCTTTTCCCCTATAGGACTGGCAGTAGCTGCAGACCCCACCCTAGGGAGCTCTGTCTCAGCTGCTGCCCAGGAGCAATAAACTCTACTTGCTCAACCTTTCTGCCTCCCATCTTTCTTCCTTGCGGCGGGTCACAGAAATAGGGAGAAAACAACAGGTATCCTCACATACCCTGTGTATTTTTTCCAGACATATTTTATTCACATGCAAGGACTTCTATTTCTATGTCTTCCCACATTCCACCTTCCTTGCAAACATAAATGGTAGCAAATATACTTTTCTGAGCCTCACTTTTTTTTTTTTTAACAATGTATCTTGCGTTCTGTTACACTCTGGACATGAAGAGCCTCCCTTTTTTTTTTAACAACTACATAATACTCCTTTGTACAGCTTTTTTCAGCCAGTTGCCTATATATAGAATATAGACTATTTCTGTCCTTTTACTACAATAAGCTTCACTGCAACAAATATCCATATGTCACCCTGCACATACGTAGGTACCATATAAATTCTCAGAAGGAAAAATGCTGAGTCTTTTCAAATTGCTTGCCAAAAAGGTTGTACCAATTATATTCTTGCTTCAACATTTTCCAAAGTTCACTATCCAATCATAAGTCTTTGTGATCTGAGAAGAAAGCCTAGTATCTCATTGCAAGTTTAATTGGCATATTTAAAAAATTACAAATGTGACTGAGCATCATTTTATAGAGCAAAAAGTCATTTTGACTTTTTTTTGTAAGCCTTCTGCCATTTGCCCAGATGCACGATTTTTCAACAATAGGCAATTACTTTAGAATAGTCAATGAGGATTTTTAACTTAAGGTCTGGATGCCTTCATTCAGTTTTTGAGAAGTTTCTGATGCCTTCAAAAAGCTTTTGTGCTGTTGTACTAAAATAATTTCCTGATTTTGATATTGTACTATGGTTATGGATATATTAAATGTTACCACTTAGGGAAGCTGGGGGAGGGTGCAGACTCATCCTGAGTGTCAGTAATTTAATCTCAAAATCAAAGGTTAAAACAAACAAAATTGTGCTTAGTTTTCTGTTTTTTTTTAAACTGATACATGATGAAAATAAAAAGAAACTGACACATGAGCCATGATGTCTCCCAAAGTTGTTAAATGACAGGCCCTCCCTGCAAGACAGCCCTGAGGTTAGAAGGTACCTGGGGGCCTGAGAGGAGCAGATCTTGACTCCAGTGGCTCACATTCTAGTGAGCACACACAAGCCTAGGAGTTAATATTCCCACTATCTTATATTTCTACTGAGCTTTACTATAGTGTTCCATGCCCATTCACTTACATTATCTTAATGATAGTAAGGATGGAGAAGGCTCCTAAATCACTTTTTGCAAAGCAAATAAGCACCTGTTTCTTTTTGTCGCCATCTCCTGAACTCTGTTGTTCATGATGCCTGACTCTCTGGAGGCTCCTAACAAACCTTTACACATAGTTCCCTGCATCTGTTCTGCTTCCTTTCTCCTTCCAGTCTTTTCTACTAAAGAGAGCTTTCATTCTCAAAAAAGCAGACATCATCTCTCCTAGAAAGCTCTTCTCGATCCCCATCTTCACAGCTTCCAGCCTCACTTCAAAAGTCAACATCTGGGCCTTCCTGGTGGCACAACCAGTTAAAGCGCAGCAATGGGAAGCTGGTAGCCACTTTGGTACAAATTTGAGCCCCTCCCAGGAGGGAGGTGACCCACATGGGGCAGCAGACTCCTCCAGTCTCACCCCCTTCTCCCCTCAGCAGTGTACTTTGTCATTCTGCCTGTTCTGCTCCCCATTCTGTCTCTGGTGAATCCTCTCACCGCCCCTGTACCTCTGGCCTGTACCCTAGTTCTGTATGAATGGAGTCACCAATCTGCCAGCCTTTTCTGCAGTGAAGTAGAGCCATCCCAGGTTCTTAACTAATTCCTCTCAATCCAGAGCTAGCCTCGGTTTAGGCTCCTGTAGCTATGAGACTGTGTCTCAGTTTCCTCATCTTTAGTTATATGTGGACTGTCAAAAAATGTCTCCGTGCAGATTTGTGCAGGGTTGCTGGAAGGATGATATAGATAAAGAATGAGATCCTGCGGGCACATTGCCTGCCAGAAGGTAAGTTTCCTCGAAGACATTCCTGTGCAAGTTTCAGTGAGTGAACGAAAAGAGATGACTCGATGGCGCCTGTTCATTTATTGAGCTCCTACTGTGTGTCGGGTATTGAGTTAACTACAGCATACTATGTGTCAAGAAGCAGCTGCAGCACACTGGAGTGGTCTTAACCGATCGCAGGAATTCAGTGATGGTTTTGGGGGCGGGGGAAGCATGGAAAGGTGGAGGGTCGTAGCAGTCAGTAGTGCCGCGCGTTAGGCAGGGTCGAAGTTCCCACAGGAAAGCTGTGTGAGAGTTGGTGGCTTCGAGTCCTACGATTGGGCGTGGAAGTGCAGCTCGCTAGTGCAGGCTCAAGGCTGCAGTGGAGCGGCAGTCGGGTTTAGTTATCAGCCGCGTGACCCTAGCCATTAACTCGGCCTTTCTGAACTCCCCCAAGTGTTAAGAAAAGAAGAGGAGCGTGTTAAGAATATTCACCTGGCAGGGCTCCTGGGACACCAGACGACGGCGCAGGCCCAGGGGCGCGGGATTTATAAGGTTTAAAGCGCCGGCGACTGTCACTACCCGGCGACAGGGTTCCCGCTCTGAGCCTGCGCAGTGGGTCCGAGGCGCAGCCCGTCAGGCACTGCGGTAGGCACCCTCGGGGCCGACAGGACCCTGACCCCAAGATGGCGGCGCCCAGCGAAGTGGCCGCGGGAGCCTCAGTTGAAGGCGATGGTGGGGGTAGTAGCTTTGGGTGCTGGCTGGATGGACGGTTGGAGGCGCTGGGAGTGGACCGAGCCGTTTACGGAGCCTACATCCTGGGTGTCCTGCGGGAGGAGGAGGAGGAAGAGAAGCTGGATGCTCTGCAGGGTATCCTCGCTGCGTTCCTGGTGAGAAGTTCGGACACATTCCTTCAGTCCCACGCTGACGCCTGTCGTACTGCTCACGCCCTTTCCCTTACTGAGTGTTCAGGAGGACTAATGGTTTCATCTGAAAGGGGAATAGTCCTCTAAGTTCTGGTGGCGAGGGTGGGGAAAAGATTTATTTCCCAGCCAGAGCCTGAAGATTGCAGGTGCATAGACAGAACTGGTTTTACCTTGGTTCCGGAAACTAGACGCTCATGCTTGTGAGCGAGCGGGTGCGGTCTTTTTGTTTTGTTTGTTGTTTTTTAAAGCACTGATATCTAAACGAGAGTTTTGTTATAAACGTCTGACAACCTATTTCACTCCCAATTGTAGGCAGTTCAGAGCCGGTAAGAAAGTGCCCTGGGAGGTCTGTGCCCTTTAAGAGGCTGTGCTCAGAGCTGTCCTATGATCAAAGACGGCAGGAAGTGCCTTCTGGATTCCTATTTTGGAAGTAGGAGTCAAAAAAGGCGTAGAGGTATATTCATGCCTAGGCAAAACTCATTGGTGGTTTTGTCGCGGGCCTGAGTAGGAGAGGGAATAGAGAGGTAAGAGTTTTAAAGAAAAGAGAATTAACTTGATATTTCACCTGTTAGAAGCTGATTCGAGAATTCAGAAACGTGTACTTTAAGCTGTGTTTAAGTAGTCCCTAGCCTAGATGTCCACTTTTCCAACCTGATAATTTCTGCTACCTTCATCACCATTTGCACCTACCTGGTGGAAGCTTGTTGAATTCAGCACCTGGTTAAAATAACTCAGCTGTTTTATGTCTTCCTGACAAGGACCCCTTTTAGTTCCAGAACCTGCTCTTTGAGATAGACCTGTATGTGCGAAAGCTTTCATGTAGTTCATAGGTTTCATGCAAATACAACACAGTGGGTCTTGACAAATAACAGTAAACAAAAGTATCATTATTAGTCTCGTAATAGAGCTTGTGTTGATTGAATTGAGTAATTCTTTTTTAAAATTAATAACTATATCAGGCACTATCTTAAGTGCTTGAAACTTCCCCTGGGAAACAAAACAGACTGAAATCTCTGCCCTCAAAAGCAGGTAAAAATTCAAGCAGACAAAAATCAAATCTTTGAGTTATATAGTGTGTTAGAAAAGAAATGCTAGGAGACAAAGCATTGTAAGAGGATTAGGTGTGAAACCGAGCATTGAGTTGTAGTTGTAAGTAGGCTTTGTTCAGGTTGTGATTTCTAGTAGGAAATTACTGGTTTCGTTTTCCAACTAGGAAGAAGATTCCCTCCTTAACATCTGCAAGGAGATTGTGGAACGATGGTCTGAAACTCAGAATGTTGTTACTAAGGTGAAAAAAGAAGGTAGGGTTGAGCCTATGTTTGATCTTCAGTGTCTTTTCCAATAACCTTTACTATAGTCCTGTTAGGACGAGAATTTGTAGTTTTCTCCTTTACTCATCTTCCCAAAGGAAATTTAAGCTAGAAAACTCTCAGGTGCTTATTACTTTGCCACTTTTATATTTTTCCATTTCAACTAACCAGTTATCTTCACTGTGGGTTCCCCCCCCATCTTTTCAATGTAAAGCCTTGTAGATTTACACTGCAGGCATAGGATGAGTTATATTTTCCTGTTTCCCACTTTTTTTTAAAAAAAGATTTGTGTATTTATGCATACAGAGCTAGGGTACAGGCCTAGCAGAGGTGCAGGGGTGATGAGAGGATTCACCAGAGCCTGCCTCCTTTTTCGTATTCTCATTTCATGACATACATGCGATTGGCCTTTTGCTTTTTTCAACTGTACTCTTTATTATTTATTTTTAAAGAATCTCTTTTAAACAGTTTTATTATTTATGTGTACAAGAACTGGGGTGCAGGCCAGAGGTGTGGGGGGCGGTGAGAGGATTCATCAGAGATTGAGTGGGGAGCAGAAGAGACATATCTACTGTATTACTGCTGAGGGGAGCAGCAGGTGAGACAGGAGAGGTCTGCTGCGCCATGTGGGTCACCTCCCTGGCGGGGGATTAAACTTGAGCTTCAGTGACTGCCGATAGTTCGTAGTGCTGTGACTTAAATCTGTGCATCACCAGGGAGACCCAGCTGTACCCCTTAAAATGAAAGAAATGGATTAATATAACCACCATTAGGATGACAAATACACAATGGAAAACTCAAATTAAAAAAGCCAAACTGAAATAAAATCTATTCTAAACTGTCTATGCCGTTTATTCTTAGTCTTGCCTACACATTAGAGTCACTTGGTGGTCTTTCAAAAATGCCCGTGCCTGGGCCACACCATGGACCAGTTACATAAACAATTTCGGGCATTGTACTTCTTAAAAAGTTTCCCCAGATGATCCTAAGTAGCAGCCATGCGTGAGAAACATTACTTTATACCAATGTCTCTCTCTTTTTTTTTTTTTGAGACTGTAGCGCTTAACAGTTGAGTTTACTTTAAAATAAAGCATTTCACTTGGTGTGGTTATCAGCATGAAAGGGACCAGCTTAAGCTGATTCTACTTTCCTCCTTAATTTTCTTGATTGAGAGGGGAGTAATTTGCATGTCTAGAGGCTTAATTTTCTGGTGCTTTTCAACCTTTTTTTTTTTTTTAAGCAGCAAAACTTTAGTATATAAAATAAAGCAGGGCTGCTTTGACTGAAGGTGGATACATGACCTAACGCCTGGCCCGAATGGCCTTTCCTTGCCTTGTCATCGGCCCCTGAAGCACCTCCTTTGAATCCTAGGGCTCTCAGGAAGCAGAAGATGCCACTGCCTTTACAGCAAGCACTGCTCATGTGGACTAGTGGTTCGGTGAGCTGGTTCTCGTCCACATACAACCTTGTTGTCTCTCCCCTCCCTCCCACCACCTCCTAGATGAGGTACAGGCCATTGCCACCTTGATTGAGAAGCAGGCACAGATCGTGGTGAAACCCAGGGTGGTGTCAGAAGAGGAAAAGCAGAGAAAAGCTGCCCTGCTGGCTCAGTATGCTGATGTGACAGATGAAGAGGAATATCCTTTTTGGAGCCTCGGCACCATTCCCTGAGGCTCATGCCAAAAGCCTTTGCTGGTGTTCAGTGAACTTTGGCAAGTTGCCAGTCCCTCTTTGCAGCTGAATTTTCCCTTCTGAAATGGCAGTGATCTATGGCCCTTCGTGGGTACAAGGAGTGATGATGAAACTAGACACAGACTTTTCAGTACATCATCAGTACGTTCCTGAAAACTTCAGTATTAAACATTGTCCTACTAATGGACTATTTATATCATGCTTTCAAAAACAAGGCAGAGCTGTGATTCCTTAAATGTATATATCTTAGTAATTGTGTGTCATGCCTTTTTATGTAGTACAGTCCCATATTTAGAGTCTATCTTTATATTCCTTCCCAGTTGATAAGGAAACTGAGGCATTAAGAGATGATGGATGATCAGAGACATTCAGAGAGTTAGTGGCAAAACCGGGACTGGAGCATGGATATTTTTGGTGAGGGTTCCCCAAATTTGGAGCAGGTTCATTTGAGTTTTTTTTAAGCTAAGGCATTTTTTTTTTTTAAAGATTTATTTATTTGTACATACAGAACCGGGATACAGGCCAGAGGCTCAGGGGCGGCGAGAGGCTTCACCAGAGACAGAGTGGGGAGCAGAACAGGCAGATCGACAAAGTACACTGCTGAGGGGAGCAGTGGGTGGGTCAGGAGAGGTCTGCCACACCATGTGGTCACCTCCGGGGCAGGCGGGAATCGAACTCATGCGGAAGTGGCTTTAGCTTCTCAGTGCAGTGCTTTAACCCGCTGCGCCACCAGGGAGGGCCCTCATTTGAGTTTTTTAATACTGGTGACCACAAGATCAAAAGTGAAGGTGAAACCCCAAGAATAACTGGACTTTGGGGACTATGTGCAAGTGCTGCTTACAGGGGTTGGTTTGGTTTTCTTAGGAAATACTGAGTCTACTGGAATGGAGTGGATATTGTATCAGAACCTTTAACTGTCAGCATCAAGTTCAGGAAAGAGGTTTTTTTTTTTAGATTTATTTATTGATGCATACAGAATTGGGGTACAGGTCAGAGGTTTGGGGTGTCAAGAGGATTCACCAGAGACAGAGTGGGGAACAGAACAGGAGAGTGACAAAGTACACGGCGAGGGGAGCAGTGGGCGGGTCAGCCATGTGGGTCAGCTCCCTGGCCGGGGATGGAACTCATGTTGCAGTGGCTGCGGAGAGCTCGCTAGTGCTGACACTTAACCCCTTGCACTGGGAGGCTCCAACCCCTTCTTCACTAAGGGGAGTAGTTCACACCTCAGATGTATGTCACCACACCAACCCCACCATCACAGCCCTTCACCAGGAGGTTGGGCCCCTCCCGCTTTGTCCCCACCCCCCTCCTCGCCCTCTAGCAGCCACAGTTCTGCAGTCACCATTTAGGGCTTGTTTGGCTTGATTTTGGCAGCTCCTTTGTCTTTCCCCTCTGTATTCCACATGTGAATGAAATCATCCATTCGTCTTTCTGTTCTGTTGTTTTACTTAGCATATCCCTGCTAGTCCCATCCGTGTTGTTGCAAATGGCGAGAGCGTACCGTTTATGGCTGAGTGGCGTCCGGTTGTGTGTGTATGCCACATTTTAATCCACTGCTCTGTCGATGGGCATTTAGTTTGTTTCCATAACTTGGCTATTGTGAACAGTGCTGCAGTGAACACAGGAGTGTGTAGACCTTTGAATTAGTGATTTTGTAATGTCCCAGTAGATATTTAGCAGTGTAATTGCTGGATTGTATATAGATCTATTTTTAATATTTTGGCGGATTTTCCAAACTTTTCCATGGGGACTGGACCAGTCTGCATCCCATCAACACAGATGAGGGCTGGGAATCACTATTCTAGAAGTCATCTTGCTGTCCCCTGGCTTCCAGGTAATACTGAAGTTCAATCAGGCCAATTTAATATAAAGTTTCTTTATTTCCTCTGATAGATTTGACTGAGGGTGCAATCTTTCCTGAGTTGAGACTACTGTACAGACAATATTCTTGGTTTTATCACCGTGGCCTTGACAGTGACCTTCCATCCCACATGTTTTTCCTACCCATCAGTTTATTGAATGTTTTCTGATGCTGGGTTGGGGTGTGCTAACCTTTGTTTCCCATCCGACTTTCCTTAACATCACTCACTGAAGCAAATGAAAAGGATGACTCAGGTGCCACCACAGTGAACATTGGGTCTGACAAGTGTATCCTTCTCTGTGTCCATCTCCATGTGTTTCTCCATAGACTCTTCTTGAGGAACAGATTGTGTTTTTCTGTCATCGTAGGGGGGCATCCCTTTCCTCCAGGAACTCATGTCAGGCCAGCCCCACTGGTTGGACACCCTTAGTTAATTTAGAAAGAACTTTCTCCAAAGGAAACATGTTAACATATACTTTAAAGGTTAGTTTAGAGGAAGGAATTTGTCACCAGTTTTTATTTTCTCAGGGAAAATAAGAATCCATACTCCCTGCTTCTGTGTTTCCCAGCACTATCAAAACAGTTAAAGTAACAGTTTTGGTCCTTGTCCTCAAAAACCTTGTAACCTCTTGGAAAGGGAATAGAAACACTGGATATTGTTAAACAAAAAATATGGACATAATGAAACGAATGTGCTGAGGAAAGTTCCCACCAGTAGAAACACTCGTGAGGACCTCCTTAGAGAAGGTGAGTTCAGAACATCCACATTCTTAAATTGAGGAGTGGGGTGGATTATCAGCAAAGGGGAGATCAATTCAGAGGGACACTCATTTTCAAGCACTAAAGCAGAAAGTCATGTTTTAAGACTGAGGAAATTGATAGTAATGGATTTTGTTTTGATTTAAGAATGAAGGCTAAGGTTTTGGCTAGGTTATTTTTTAACTGCCTAAATGTGCATTATTTCATAGCTTATAAATTTAGCTATTACAACATGATTTCCAAGCCTTAGTGATTGGGGGATAAAGGCAATTGCAGAAATCTAGTAAGGTTAAAGAACTTAAGTAACTCTTCAAATGTTTTAATGGTGCCGAGTACATAATAAAAATTACCAGTTACATACTCTATTCATGAAAATGGACCCCAGGTATTTTAACAGTATTCTATTGAACTGTATACTTACTCTAGAATGAAATTTTATTAACTATTTTAACATTCAGGTATCAGTAAGTCCAAATGGAAATTTTATGCTGAGGGTTAATTTTAAACTGTAGTTTTAGGATTTCCTGTTAGACCAAAGATAAACATAGGATTTTTTTTAAAAGATTTATTTATGCATATAAGAGCCAGAGTAGGCCAGAGGTGGGGAGTGGTGAGAGGACTCACTAGAGACTGAGTGGGGAGCAGAACAGGCAGATGTACTGACATACACTGCTGGGGGTGGGAGCAGCAGGTGAGGTGGGAGAGGTCTGCTGCGCCATGTGGGTCAGCTCCCTGGCCGTGTGCTGAACTCATGGTGTAGTGGCTGCTGTAGCTTCAAAGCACTGAGATTTCACCCTTGTGCCAGCAGGGAGGCCCCAGAAGATTTTTTTTAAGACTAGCAGGCATTCAAGCCTCAGCTTGAGGAGTGAAGACGGTGAGAATGAGTACAAAGAGCAGTAGTTGGAACCTGAGTGACCTGAATCCTAATCCCTTAACTCACCTGTAGCTCTCTTCCGGAACACCAACGTGGAAGATGTCCTCAATGCCCGAAAAATGGAGCGAGATTCACTTCGGGATGAGTCCCAAAGGAAGAAGGAACAGGACAAGCTGCAGAGAGAGAGGGAGAAACTAGCCAAACAAGAACGCAAGGAAAAGGAAAAGAAAAGGACACAGAGAGGGGAACGAAAGCGATAACCTTGGCCACTCCTTTTTCCTCACGAACTTTGTCAAAGGGTGGATGGTTGTGCACATGTGTATTTAGGAGAAACGAGAGATCACTGAAAAGTGGTTTTTCAAGGCATTTTCCCTTTTGTTTACATGGTCAAAAGGAAAATCAAACACTTTTAATTATAAAATGTGCCATGTCTCTGTGGTGTGGGTAATCAAATTATTGTTGACCTCTGTACCAAAGACCTGGAACCCCTTTATATTTTAATAGTAAAGTCCTGTGCTCCTTGTAGCCATTTAAGTCTTCCCTCACCTTGGATAGACAGCAGGAATAATCAGGAGCTTATGGGTACTGTTTCATCTTGAAGGAGCAGAAGCATGAGCACTCTTTCCTGAAATTTTGGAGTCTAACTCCTTTGGCACTCACCCACAGAGTATTGTGGCTGAAATAGGAAGGTAATGGAGAGCCTTATCTGGATCCAAACTATGTTACATGGCAACAAACTAGGAAATGAGAAGTTATTTGGTAGATATTCTACATTAGAGAAGTTTTTTTAAAAAAGTTTTAGCCTATGGAAGAAAAAGGAATCTTTTAAAGTAGAAATAGTTATGTATTTTTTCCTCTCTAGGCTGTTTTAGGAAGGATGTGGCAGTATTAGGCACGAGGATTTTGCTAGCTAGAATGAATTTTAATAATCATGAATTCTTGAATGCTTGTAGAGATTTTAATTCCGAGTTGCCCAAAATATGAGGGTAAAAACCTAATTACAGGTTTAGAGAAACTGGGAATTGCCCTCTTAAGGCAGAAACACTGAGAATCTCTGCTAACGCAAGGATATTTAGGAGTGTACTTAATGACTCTCAACAAATTTATTGAGTGATGAATGGAAGAGTCAAAAGCAAGCAGGAACCTCCATTTCTCCATTGTTATCAAAAAAATTGCATTTAATTGTAGATAAAACCTTTTTCTGACTTTAGGCAGCAGATTGTCAAGAAGCCTGAAGAGAGCAATTTCTCTGACAAGACAGAAAGGAGATAATTATACCAAGCCTGGGCAAACTTTGCCACAAGCCCAATTTGGCTCAGACTGTTTTTTGTATGGTGCAAGCTAACAATGGTCTTTACAATTTTAAAGGATAATAAAAGAATTTGAAACTGGGTGTGACCTATAAAGACAAATGTTTATCATCTGGCAAACTTTCGAGAAAAAGCTTGCAAATTTCTATTTTGTATGAAATTAACAAAAATTTTTACCTTTGTGCAAAAGGTAAAAAGAAGCATGGCTAGGAAAAGATGTGTTACCTCTCTATACTCCTATATCTGTGGCATTGCCCCCAAAAAAAGCCTTTTTAAAAAATAAACTATTTAAATCACTGTCTTCTGATTTATTCATATTCCTTCTAGCTTCTCATGAAAACAAATACTTTGTGGCTAGTCATGTAAGAATGTGTTGAATTTTAGGTTATTTTGATTAAGCCTATAGTTTGTTCGCGTGAAACCTCTTTCCAGAATCCATTTCTCTGCCTCAATTTTTACTTCCATGAAGTTGGGTATTAGGATATCAAAAAAGATATTAAGTCATATGGCTTTGATGTCTTTGAAGTACTATTGGAATCTTAGTCTAGTAGGCTATGATTACATTTGATAGAGCTGATTTTAAATTAGTAACCCTTATTTTGGGGTTTTGGTTTGTTCACCCCTTCTTTAAATCTGTTTTAACAGTTATCAATGTTTTCTCCTAGGACTCTATATTTCAAGTATATACTTGAAATAAAAGTGAGATCAACTAGTTAAATTTTGAATAAGGCTATCTACTTAACTCAGAACTTAAGAAAATTCCTTATATGTAATATTGTAAAGGGCAAATTTTAAATAACCGTACCTTCTATGGTAATTGACATTTTGGGCCACATTAGGGATTCAGTCATAACAATTGCCAGCCCTCTAAAACTAAGAGGACACTGGTATGATACAAAGTAATTTTCAGCCTCTATATATAAATTGCTTTTTCTATTAAAAAATGTATTCCCAATTCTTTTGTATAAAAAATAATGGGACCAGCAGTTTATCAATTTCATTATCAATCTTGTGTGATGTTAATTTTATGACATGTTCATAGGTTGTAATTCAGGAGAGTAATACATTAAGGATGATTCATTAGAGAGTATAGTATAGAAAGGGACAACCAGCTAGTTTCAGAATTATCTACTGGGTAATGTGATTAAAAAACCTCAAATAAGGGGCCCTCCCTGGTGGCGCAGCGGGTTAAAGCACTGCACTAAGAAGCTGAAACCACTGCCCGCATGAGTTCGATTCCACCTGCCCTGGAGGTGACCACATGGTGTGGCAAAACTCTCCTGACCCACCCACTGCTCCCCTCAGCAGTGTACCTCGTTGATCTGCCTGTTCTGCTCCCCACTCTGTCTCTGGTGAAGTCTCTCGCCACCCCTGAGTCTCTGGCCTGTACCCCAGTTCTGTATGCACAAATAAATAAATCTTAAAAAAAAAAAAAAACTTCAAATAATTGTCAGTGGACTAATGTTTTGTTTCTGACCACTGTCAGAAACATGTAAAAATTGCCCTGGATTTTTTCCCCTGGATTAGCCTAAGAGTTAAAAATTTCACTCTTTTTTAAAATCAGTAGAAATTGTTTTTGTGTATTTCACAATTATACTTTTAGAAGGCATTTGACAAATTTCAGCATTAACTGCCAATTTACAGATAAAAGATACATTTACTCTTTTGGCTCTTTTAATAGGTGAAGTGACCTATTACATCACAAATAATAGAAATGTGATCACCAGTGACTGCAGAATAAAATCTATGATCCAATCTACTTCAAAGGTTGGAAGTGATAAAACTACTAAATTAGTGATTTTATCCTTAGATTAACAATCCCAGATTGAGATTTCTTTGATCTCAATTCTACAACATAAAATGGGGGAATTGGGGAGAAAGATGGGGATAAACAGTGCATGCTCAGTTGCAGAGTTGGGACAATGACTCAAATTTTTTTCATTTTCTTTTATTCCAGGTAGGCTTCAAAGACATCCAATAGCATTAGTTTTTCTAACAACATTGTTACTTTTTGTATAATGAAATTTAAAACTTAGCCAGCAGCTATTAGTAAAATACAATTTGACTAGAAGCTAACACAAACACACACAAAAACTAAACATTTTTCAACAAAGTAATTTATTTTCTTTTCCTGAGACTAAATTCAGTACAATATTTGTTTTCATAACATCCAACATGTCTTATGTCAAACTTAACCACTTTCTATGCAGTGACTGTGGTGGGGTGATCTATTTTATTTGACTACCCTCAATGTAATTCATTTGGGTAGTTCTAAGGTATATCAGTGATCAAAATGTTTCTTCCTACAGTTACTCCTGCATTTTCAATCAGTTTCTTCCGCACATCATCTAAAGAAAATTTATGTGGTGATTACACACTCTCTTTTTTAATACCAGGATTTCTAAAACTAGGAAAAACACCAACATTTAAAACATCAGTGTTTCTAGTCAAGGATAGTTCAATTAAATTTCATCAGTACATTATATTATAGTTTAACTCATGCTAGAAATGTTAAAACCCAAGATCTTATGAGTCACATAATGCCAACATTTCATATTAATGAATAAATTACTCAGATTCCATACAAAGATATTAAGTGATGAGAAACAAAAAAAGCTAAGCTTTTAAGAGCTCTTTTAAAAAAAACACAAACAAACTAGCGAACATAACTACACAAAATATACACTAAGCAATTATAAACTAAACTAGTTAAAGATTAACCCTAAAAAAATACATTTTAGAACTTCGTGATACCCTCATAAAAGTCAGCAAACTAAGGGTATTAAAACAATAGTCATTATTTTAGTTACTGTGCATCAAGTCTAAAAGATCCAGATAAAGGAAATGTTTTGTTTTTGATTCAATTTAAATACTTTAAAATTGGAAATATTTAATAATTGATAGTATAATAAAATTTTAAAGAATATACACAAATGATTTGAACAGGTTTTATATTCAGTAACTTGCATGGTTTTTACACTGGCACTTTTATCACTAATTAGGAGAATCTGATGCATTTCCCTCTGTATACTTAGGCACTAAGATTTTAATTTTATAAATATGGTAGTTTTTTTAAATATTAAATTTTTACATGAATACTGGGTTTATTCTTGTTTTCCTTTATTTCCTAGGTATTATCCAGTTTTGTAAGGAAAACACTTTTATATCACAATCAAAACTTGTCTTGGTTACTAGACTGTAGCCATAATTGGGTTACAGTCACTTATATTCATTATTTGGAATTATACTTACTAAGGCAGACCTAAATGAAACATCTTCTAGAAGAATTTCACATTTGCATTTACCTGCACTGCAGAATGAGTTTAAGCAATATTTTAGCTGTTAGGAATATTTTACTTAAACTTATTTTGACTACTTATAACTTCTAGAGTAGTCAATTTTACCTTTGAGTTCACTTTAAACTATATCTGATTCATTCCAAATAGACGATTTTAAACAAGAAGTTAGACTTCATTAAGGTATTAACTTTAAACCTGAAAGAAAATTAATATACTGAAAATTTCAAGTTTGACAAGTTCATTAAAAATTTTTAGTATGTCTTGATACATTTACTTATCAGCTTTTTATTCTTCTTTCTGCTGGCATTTCCTTAATGTTTGTTTACTTCACTTCTCTGGTTCATTGAATTGCTACTATTTATATTTTCAAGGACTTTATCTTCACAGTTTACTATATCTTGTAGAACCTTTTCCACATCTGCTTGGCCAGTTGTACTGGCTGTTTTTGGCAAGGTCATCTGCAGTGCACACCACAGGATAGTGCGTGCTTTCCGAGTAGCCACACACATCTCTTTAATTGCTGAAGCGAGGGCAAAAACATCTGAATAAGAAACATTCAGAGTGAATTCATATTAGTAACATTTAAATATCCCTTAATTCTCAGAAAGCCCAATACTATGCTACTAAATGATTAAACATTATTAATGAAAGCATGACTATTAACTGAGATAACCAAAGTCTTAATATTTAAAAGTACTGTAGAAGCAAAGATTTTGGCAGAATTATCATTAATAAGACTAACAAAATAGATCAAAATACTTTTGTAGTAAATCATGTGGCTGTAATTTACCAATTTATTCTCTATTTGAGAATAGAGAATAAGCTTTTAACCTCAATCTTATTGGCCAACATTCAAATTATTGCATTGCCTTAGCAAAAATGATATACATTAATATTGTACCTCTGTCATCTTGACACCTAGGAACTCCTTGTCGTTGACGATTTGAAGCATTAACAATTTCATCTTTTCTACGAGACTGTACAATATGAATGGACTCCAAGTGTCTATCAAGAGCAGTAGAGATATTGGCATGAAGGGGAGAGCTTCGAAGACGTTCCATTTTGCCTAGTAAAGTCACAACCTGAGGGAAACATTTACATTTTTATAAGGTATGTAACCATATTGTCCTGTCAGTAAGTTAATTTTAAAAATCTTCAATGTGGGCCTCCCTGGTTGCCTAGGGTTAAATCTCAGCACTATCATCACTATGCTGGAGTTCAATTACTGGCCAGGGAGGTGACCACATGGCACAACAGACCTCTCCTGTCTTGCCCACTGCTCCCCTCTGCAGTGTATTTCAGTAAATCCACCTGTTCTGTCTCTGGTGAATCCTCTCACCACCTGAAACTCTGGCCTCTACCCAATTCTTCTGTACACACACACACACAACAGATCATTCAACTTAATGAATTTGAATAGGGTGAATAGAAGCAAGAACAATGATATACATTCAATAAATAATTGAATGTTTACTGTGTCCTGACACAATGCTGGGTGAAACAAAGAATTATGTAATTCTAATTTTGCTTCCAAGTAATCAGTTACTGAGAATAATAATGAAATAATTTGAAGAAAAAAAATAATATTGAAGTTTTTTTTATTAACATAACATAGCTGTAGCTCCTGTCACAATCCCACTGCTATATTTAATTGCAAAAAATTTACAAATCTGATACAATTTCTACTGACCTAGGCAGATAGATAAAAGCAATCTTTTTCTATTAAAGTAATTCATATCTATGTTTAAAGACTTTTTTTTTTAAGATTTATTTATTTGTGCATACAGAATTGGGATACAGGCTAGAGGCTCAGGGGCAGTGAGAGGCTTCACCAGAGAGTGGGGAGCAGAACAGGCAGATCGATGAAGTACACTGCTAAGGGGAGCAGCAGGCAGGTCAGGAGAGGTCTGCCTCGCCATGTGGTCACCTCAGGGGCAGGCGGGAATGGAACTCATGCGGAAGTGGCTTTAGCTTCTTAATGCTGTGCTTTAACCCGCTGTGC